GAGGTGGGGTGGGGGACAGCGCGAGCTTGGTGCTGATTGGCCGGTTCTGCAGCCAATCCCCGCCCGGCGGCGGCGCGAGGGCGAGGGAGACCCCCCTCCCCCCCGAGTTCTGGGAGTGCAGGGTTGGGACCCAGGCGTCCGGGCTGCCAGCGCCCCTCCCCACCAGAACACACTCCCCGCCCAGAGCCACGGAGGGGACCCAGGCGTCCGGGCTGCCAGCCTGGTGAGCCCTGCCAGGAGGGCGCAGCCTGTGGGGCCTGGCGCGGGCCCCTCCCGGGAGCGGGGTGGGTGGGGGGGTGTCAGGCCCGGCGGCGCAGTGCTACTGTAACTAGCTCTACCTGTGATTTGTTTTCAGGGGGCAGAGCACAGGGAAGGGGCCTCCCCAGTCTCCAGTAAGTACCTGAGGCTCTGTCTAAAGGGGAGAGGGGGGAACCTGATGCTGGTCTCCCAGGAGAGCCAGGCTGTCTGTTGTACTGACTTCCTGGTCGAGAGTCTCTTTTCCTCCGCAGCAGCCGCGGGTGGCTGGGCAGGCCCTTCCTCTTTCTTGAGAACATGGCATGGGCTGGAGATGCTTGTGTTGGCCTCCGTTAAAGCCTCAGACAATATCGTCTCCGTACTGCTCTTCCCACAGGCTTCTGCTGGACTTGCCTGGCATTTCCTACTTTCTGCATCGTAATTCAAGTTTAAATGTTTCCCAAAAATGCGTACTAGAGAAGAGAGGGATCCGACCTGCCACCCAGCACTCTGACCTTTAACTGCTTCCTTGTGGCCCAGATCTTAATGAGTGTGTCTCATAGTGTTTTGGTAGCACTTGCTTCCCTTTGATCTCAAGGGACACTAGTGTGATAGGAGTCCCCAGTGAGCCAGACAGTTCCCTTGGGGCCTGGAGCAAGATGGAGCCAGACAGATGCCATTCCTCACCCACTGAGCCAGTCAGTCCAGATTGGAGCTAGTGCCCTGTGGAGGGGAAAGTCCCATATCTCCTTCCCTGATATCTTCTGAGCCAATTTATTCCTCCAACCCAGGGCCAGATTGGAACTCTAGAGGTGAAAGGTCCCATAATTGCCTTCTCAGTCCCCAGGGTATCTGTGCTTTTAAATTGGTCCCTCCCCTTCACTCCAAGTATGCAGCTGAACACCTCCCCATTGGCTTCCCATCACTGCGGGGAGGGTGTGTGTGTTCTGCTCTGAAAAGCTGCTTTAGAAGAGATGTTCTGCTTCAGGTTCATGGTCTCGTTCCAAGCCCAAAGATGTGTTCTCTGGTTCCCTGAAGTTGGATCCTCTGCCGTGTGTCTCTGCAGTAACAAGTGCAGCCAGAATTTACCCTCAGCAGAGCTGTTCGCTCAGTCCCTGTAGCAGGATGGGGGGCAGAGGGGCGGTGCATAAGGCACAGCTTCAGGGGCATTGCAGTGCTAGTGGGAGTACAGAGTCGCCAGTGGGACTCTGACATCCAGCTGTCTCTCTCTCAGATCCACCTTGGAGGAGGTTTCCCTGCAGTGCTGTCTCTTCCCTCTCACTGGGCCATGTGCTGGGGTTGCTGGGTGAGATTCTCTGGCTTGGGTTACGCAGGAGGCCAGGCTTGATCATTCTGGCCTTAAGATCTGTGAATCCTTGGATTGGCTCCTCCTGGAAAAGAGGGGGCAGGCTCACTCTGGGCCTGCTGGTGCCGATGGGGTTGGCATGAGCTCAAGGCTCCAAAGTTTGGGGGTCGTTCAGGACCCAAGCCTGCGTCTCCACACAGCAGCACGTGGCTGGCCCTGGAGTCGTACCCCAAGCATGCCCTGTAAGTGTAGCATCACAGAGGTGATTGCTGTTAGTACACCACTCATCCTGGTAACTGCCCTGGCTCCTAACCTGGGTGCTGAGGGCGGTGCATACAGGGGAAGCCTGGGGGATGAAGGTTGTGTATTCACTGCTCCTTGTTGATGGGTTCATCTCACTGTGTTAATGATAGGTGTTCGAAGGTGTCTATAACAATTCTCGAATGCTGCATTTCCTGACGGCTGTCGTGGTAAGTGCTGTCAGTTCCTGTTCCAATGCTGAGGGGGTTGCCTAGCATGGTCCATTCAGGAGCAGGCTGTTGCAAGGGTCTCGGGGGCGGGGAGGAGTTTCTGGCTTTGGGGGGAGGACAGTCATACTGTCCCCTCTCTCAGAAACTCCCTGTTCCCAGCATTGGACTTTGAGTTGGGAACTAGGGAGGGAGGTGAAGGGGTGTGTGTGTCATCCAGCAGGACATGTCCATGGGAGTGGGGGGGGGGAGTCTGGAGAGAGAGGGGCGGTGTGGGGTATTTTCTGCTGGGGGGTGGACCTGGGCATCAGAGCATCGACGCGCGGCATACAGCATCCAAAAACGGATTCCTGTGCAGGAGGCCTGGAT